AAGACCAGGCTACCTATCATGAACACAGTTCAGGTTTTCTAGCTCCCTAAGACTTTGGGTGGCTTTTTATTCATCATATTAAGAACTCTTTACCCAGTTGAGAGTCATCTACTGCTTTTTCTACAATGTGGATTTGAGTGAAGATTACAAACAGTGGGAAAGATAATATATCTAAAATTTTTATCTCTTTTTGTAATCTTCTGGGAATCATGACTTGGGTATACCTGTCAAGGTCAAAAGGACCCCAGATAAGTATTCCTGTCAATCAACATTTTAAGTTTCCACACTTCCACACCTACTGCCTATTCCTGAGGGTAGTGTCTCCCTATCTGTCTGTCTGTCTGTCTTTCTCTCTTTCTGCTTTCCCAAGTCTAACCCTGGAAGTTTCAAGTATACACTCAAGATAAAGATTTTTCCCTCAGCTCTTCTCCCATCTACATTAAAAACCTTCCCCTCAACAATAAGAAAAGGAATTCTTTCCCCTTTATCATTATTTACCCATGACTGCATGTTTCTACCAGGATTGAACTAACCTGCTAAATATTTGGCATCCTCTTAGCAGTTTAAGTGGTTACCAAAACTTTCTGCTTAGTTTTAGTATAATACCCATCAAGAAAAATTAGCTTCTTTGATAATTTTTTGTTTCCTTATTTTCATGAGAATTCATGCTCATACATACATACATACATACATACATACATACATACATACATATTTTTCATGTTTTCCCTCATATTAGTGAGAAAAATTTAGTGGGTAAAGTATCTCCAAGTGAAGTCAATTGTGTTCTTGGTCTTACCTTCCCTAAACTCCAATCGACTGAGCAGGATCTGGCTCTGATCCTAGATCCTAGAGCACCCAGAAGCAGTGATAGTATGTGAAAGCTGAGTTTTGTAAATCTGGGTCCTGGTGTTGACAAGAATCTATGTAGAGAAGCTCCAGGGTAGGCAAAAGTGAAGACAATCTGATTCTGCTAGTTAGAGAGGCTCAGCAAGGATTGGATATATGCAGTACTCAGAGGTATTAAATACTCCAGCAAGGATCGGATATATGCAATACTCAGAGGCATTCAATATTTCAGCAAGGACTGGATATATGCAGTACTCAGAGGCATTTCAATATTCTAGCAAGGACTGGATATATGCAGTACTCAGAGGTATTAAATACTCCAGAAAGGATTGAATATATGCAATACTCAGAGGCATTCAATATCCCAGCAAGGACTGGATATATGCAATACTCAGAGGCATTTCAATATCCTTACATGAACTTATGTCAGTTTTTAGGGTTCGTCACTTGTCTCATTGATACTCTGAATTTCACCTAAGGAATCTGGCAAGGGAATATATATATATATATATATATAAAATATTACATTATATTATATATAATATATTAATTATAAATATATTATATAATGTTATATTATAATATATTATATATATTAAATATATATATATAATATATATATTTTTTATTTGACACTATTTTATTTAGGTACTTTGTTACTTGGAAAAGGAAATCCCTGTAACCTAACCATGGAAAGTTCCTTACTTTACTTGGAAGCTGAAAATTTGGGATATGTGAGTTTATACTATCCTTTGTTTGTGTTTCTTTCAAATTTGTTTTCTTTATGCTCATTCACATGGTTAGATCATAACGACTTCTCAGTCCTCTGAAAACTGTCTTCGACTAGCCCTTCATTCCAGTTAACTATAGGTGATAATTTAATTAAATGTTGAGTCACTGGTTGCATGGGTTGCCTGAGGCTGGGTCCTTATTACTTCCAAATCCAACTTGCCCATGAAACCAGTTTTAGGTTTTGTTTCCATGGGGATATGGTATTTACAGTCATGCCTGCAACAACTCAATACCTGTCAAAATTCTGGTTAGTAACAAGAAAAGCTGCTTAGCTTGTTTAAATAGAAAAGGAACTGAGAGGTGGCTCTTGCCTATAATCCCAGCACATGGGATGCAAAAGAAGAAGAATTACTATGCCAGCTTGGGGTCCATTGTGAGTCCTAAGACACAGTGAAAGCATTCCTCAAGAACAAGCAAATACAAACAAAACAAATGAACAGAAACAACCAAACAACTCACAACAAAAAGATAGAAATTAAATTTGTTAAAATATATATTAGGTAGGTCATAATTTTTAGGAAAACTAGAGGTAAGGTTGTAAAGCTGGGTCACCAGGGAAAATACAATCACAGTACTATGAGTAATGCTTCAGCAAACCTAACAACGCTGCTGCCACTGGTAGACAATGCTGCAGCAGGTGTAGACTCTAGATATTAGAAAGTAGAAACTGTTCACCCTTCTCCCCAAAGCTCACTTTTCTCTAGTATTCTCTATTAAAATTTTTTTAATGGTAGCATCCTCACGTTTTTCATCTCCAAGCTGGAATTTTCTGTGAGCACACCTGACTGGTCTAGCATATCACATGCCAGTGTTCTGTTTGAACAGATATTAAGGAAATGAACTCTGGCTTCTAACTGTGGTAGAAAGAATAGCAATTAATTGTCTAAGAGTGATTTCCTGTAGGCTAGTCTGTAGGAGAATTTACCTCCTTCCTAGCAGAATGATTTAGGAACTAAACATTGCTCCATGGAAACTGGCTACAGCTCATTGCTTGAGGTAATCATCCTTGGTAGAGTGCTGAGGTGGTAAGGCAAGTCCAGGGGCTTGAATAATGCTGTATCCACAAGGCTTGCACCCTCCATTACACCAGTGGATGGATTGGTTCTTATAATGGTATGGCTTAAATGCCTATGGCCCAAGGACCAAGATGTTTAAATGTCTGTCCTTGCTAAATCACAGTAAGCTACACTGGAGTGTGAAGAACAAGCAGAGAATGGTTCTCTTACAATTGTCTTTGTTAGTCTGACATAATGGGTATAGTTCTAGAATGTCTGATGTTTATAATGTCCGATCAATTGCCTTTGGTTGATCTTTAGGTTAGCAAAGATCGTTGCAACAGAGACAATGAGATGAGCTTGATAAATTTTTATTGCAGGTGAATAAACCTATCTTATTTTAATTATATTTAAACATGCTTCTTTTAATGGCAATAAATTAGCTGGAATTATTGATCTTGAAAGAAGTATATAAAATATAAATAATATAAAAATAAGAAAAACATGTATGAAAGCTATTATAAAATGTCATTAGATATTTTAATTTAGGGCCTTCACCAAATAAAATAGTTACATTTTAAACAATTTACAGAAAAGACACAAAACCATGTGTTTCTTTGGTTCCTATCCACTACAGTGTGACCTCAATTTTACAGGTGACTGAAATGTTTTGTTATGCACTGCTTTATGGAAACATGTTATAAAGACCATGAATATGGCCAGTAGGCCTGAGAAAATAGCATGGTTGTGTGTGCCTTATAGGAAGGCATGGTCCAGGCTGCAGTTTTTATTTCTCTTAGTGATTTTCATATTCTGTCATCTTCTCTTATTTGAGTAATCAGATTTGATAGTGAAGCATCCCTTATGATTTTCCTAGGTATAATAGAATGGATAACAGGGACAGATAGATAGAAATGTTGGAAACGTGAGTGGTCAAGTGAGAGATTTATTTTAATCAAGTTTTTAAGTTGGAATACAAAATGATGAGTTCTACTCAGGTGTTTTTACAAATGCAACAGTGTATTTGGCTCAGATTCAGCCCAACTACCTTTCTCCATAAGGACTTACCTTTCTTCTTAGTTGCTTTCTTATCCCTAACTAGTCTCTTTTCTTCTCATAGGTCAAATACATGAATGTGTGTGTGTGTGTGTGTGTGTGTGTGTGTGTGAGAGAGAGAGAGAGAGAGAGAGAGAGAGAGAGAGAGAGAGAGAGAATATCAAATCAGCTTCACATATAAGAAAAAAACCTGATATTTTGGAACAGCTTGTGGTTGTGTCTGCAGGGAATGATTGTGATTATTTTAATTGAGGTGTTACTCTGGGTGGCACCATCCCCAGAGTAGGGAATATTGAATTCTATGAAATGGGAAGGCAAGGTGAGTGCTCATATCACACATATGTTCTCTCTATACTCTCAACTGTGGAAAGTGACTGTCTACCTCAAGTTCCTGCTGCCTTGAATTGCCCTGCAATGATGGATGATAACTTGGAACTAACCTACAGTGCTTTATCACAACACTAGAAAAACAATTAAGACAGTGGTCTTCTCCAAGTTGGAATAACACCCTCCTATTTTAGATAACACAAACTGTGACTTCACACTTCTTTTTCAATGATCATACAACTGTAAGGCAAATCTTTTGAGAAATATATAATAATATTAATTAGTGGGTTAAAATGCTACATCTCAAGTAAAACAGACATAACCTAATGAACATATTGAACTTTACAAAGAATTGAAGGTTTCACTAGAAAGTAGAGAAAGTTAACAAATTAAGGTGAAAATTTTTATAGGCGTCTGGAACAAATTCTAGATAAAGAAGACAGTGAAGAAATTACCACAAAGCATTCATAGAATGACTCAACTATATTCTTGCCAACTCTTCTCACAGATAAGAAAGATTAACAATACCTTGAACACACTTTTGCTGGCTTAGGAAAGACCCCTTCTATTCACAATGAATGTTCTTTCCTGAACAGAAATGAATTTATCGTTCGATGCTTTTCTTATCTATGGAGATAATCATGATTTATATTTAATCTGTTAATTTGATGCATTATATTACTTAAGTGTCTAATGTTACTCTCCTAGAGATTTGGCTTTGGCTATGACCTCACCCATGTTACCATCCTGGGAATACTTTCCTGGTCATTCTCATCTTTGAGGCTCCAGCTACAGGTGAGTCAGTAGGACCTAGCCTCCTAAGTCTGTGTAATATGCCATCTCAGGAAACTGATTTCCTGTGAAATCTCCCTTCCTTCTTTCCCCTTTCCCTCTTCTCCTCACTGCCTCCCTCGTGTAGAGCACTAACCTTGTCAGTTCAAGTCAATTCTCTTTAATTGTTGGTGAATTTGTTCTGCTCACCCTCTCATGAAGTATGTAGTCCTCTCCCACTCTCTGCATTCCAAAGGCTTTGAGTCTGATAGCTTCTCACTCTTTCTCTCTGCAGCATAAAGTTCAAACCCTTTTGTTACGATCAAAATATCCAAAAATGCACAACTTTTGATGTCACTGCAGTGTTGAGTTTCTACTGAGTTTCAGGACAATCACAGTATTTCCCCTGCTTCTTTTGAGTCTCCGTTTTCAAGGCATGATAGTTTTATGTTAACCAGCATTGCACTTCCAAGATTTTGGTAGAGGGAGGTTTTACATTATCAAGTAATCCATATGGTAAAAATGGTGTCAACCACACATTTCTGAAGTGAGATAATACAGTTCTAGAACTGTAAATGTCTGTGTGTTTTCTGTTTAAAATAGCTTTTACTAACATGATTTATTTTTTCAACTTTCTTCAACGGCAAATCCTTTGGCATTGCATTTATTTGTGTACATTGTTTTGACTCATGTTTACCAAAATCTTGGGCTTCAGTTTATCCATGTAGAAGGCCCTTGTCATAAAATTATTTAAATCAATAAGTTGATAAAAATCACATAACTTTTACCCCTTCCCTGAAACAGTTCACACACTGCATTAAACTCTAAATTTAAGCTCTTGCCTTTATTTTCATCTTGGAAATATTACCATTAACAGCCAATTTGCTTTATATCAGTTTGAATGAGGAAATATTTATTTGAATTAGACTAATATTAATATTTCTAACATATTGAACTAGGGAGATTTATGAAGGGTTAGTTGGGAGAATTAAAACTGGCATTTTGTGATGTAGAGTTTGCTGCTTATGATCATACTGGAAAATAACATAAGTCAAATTTATATAGTTTTAATTTTATAACTGTTTTATATAATAACCTGGACAGTAATGGAATATACTTACAGTATAAATTTAGTACACAATAATAACAGTAAATTTATATTACACTAACTATAAGCAGCATTGTTCCATGCACCTCCCATGTAATATCAACTCATTTAAAACACTCAGGGAATGTCCTTCTTTACAAATTTCTAAATGGTCTTATTAAATGAAAATCACAGAGCCAAACATAGGGGTGAAAGCCTTAGAGAGATCAAGGAAATAGGGAAAGCCACCAGCCAACCTTATCTCACCAGCTCTGCAGCTTCCAAACGTGACTTACTTCCTGTCTACCCACGCGTATATGCCTTGTTGTGGAATTAAGGTGTGTGCCACCACCACACTGGTTCTGTTTCCAGTGTGGCCTTGAATACACAGGGATCCTGCCTGTTAAGTGATATGATTAAGGGCATGTGCTACCACTGCCTGACTTCTTTGTTTACTTATAATGGCTTTCTTTTTCCTCTGATTCTCCAGGAAATCTTTATTTATCAAAGCACAAATAAAATATCACTACATTTTAGCACAAATAAAATATCATCACATTTTCCCTTTTTTGTCTAATAAAAATAAAAACATTAAAAAAGTTAAACTATTATAAGAAAAACTATATACAATAAGTACAATAGCTATCTATATACAATATATACAAGCAATAAACACATCAACAATGTCCATTTGCATTTGACAAATTCAGAGAAAATATTCCATTATGTATCCTATTTTGGTGAGTTCAAAATATACCTAATTCACTTTCTATCCTAACTTATATTACCAACAGAAAACTATTTTATGATGTCTTTCAAACTTATACACTTAACACCTCTTAGTTTCTTTTCTGAATTTCTTAACAAGGAAAACTGTAACTGTGGGGCGTTTACCCACCACCCCCACAGCTTCCCAGAGTTTTCTTGAGTGCGATCAGCAGGAAATATTAGATAGAAGGATTTATAGTGGAGCATCTTGCGGAGATAAACAGATAGAAAATAAAGGATAGCCTCGAGAGGGCCTGGAACCTATTCCAACGGGCCCGGACTGTCTCTGGTCCAGGATTTTTATAGAGACGCCAAGGGGTGGAGCAAAAGACCTCCTCCCCCAGCACAGCCAAGTGCAGACCATCTCAGACACCTGCACTCAGGCCCGTGGTCCTGATCATCCTCTATTCGGACCTGCTGGGTAAAGCCACGAGAAACCCCAGAACGGGCTCCCACATGTAACTATAACTATCTAATCTTCAACTCCCTCAGAGACCCAAGAAGGAAATAATATTACCTAGTAAAACAGTAAGTACAAACAAGTTACTTCCAAAAAATGAGTTATGACAGAAACAGCCAGCTTCCTGGACAGTCATCCGACATTTCTCTGTACATTGATGTATCTTCTTTGGCCTAAAGGCTTAGTGTATCTGACAGATTCATTTGTGAAGTAGGATGTACACAAGGCCTACAGCTCAACCTCACATTTGTTGCGAATATTCCATGTATCAGATAAATTTGAATTCCACCAGTGTCCTGTTGTGATCCAGGATTTTAAATTCTGGAAATTGCTGGTGTTTTTGGAATTCAGCTTCCCATTCTTCTCAGCTTATGGGTAGCTTCATCTTCTTTGTTAAATGCCAGTCTACCATTGAGAGATTAGACTCTGTCAGCTTAATTACTCTTTCAAGAATAACTGTTTCAGCTACTGTTCCACTGCACACCAGAAGCCATTGGTCCAATGCCTGTTCAGCTGCCTTTGAAGAAAGGGGCACAGTACCTTTTCTAGATTGCAAAGCCACTTCAGTGATGGTGCCATACTGTCCTGGCCTCAGGGGATGCCTGTTGCCAAAGCTGCAACCACGTTTGTCTTGGTAAGGATTGGTAATCCTTTGTTTTGTATCCTATTTGTCCATTTTGGATAGCATACTGTCAGCAGTTGATGCAAGGGCACTTTATTGCCCAGTGGCTAACTTTTGCCACAGTGAAAGTTAACTCCATATGCAGCTTCTTCAATGCCCATATCTTCTCTGAAGTAGATTGGTGCTGCCAGGAGCAGACATGTCTCATAGTCATAAAAAAGAAAAATTTATGTTATAAAAATATCTTAAATGCTATATTCTGTATATCTCTGGAGGGTTTGAAGATGACCTGTCTATCTAAAATATATCTCTACTTGACCTTGGAAACATATCTAATATGACTACAAGTTTGATTGTAATGTCTAACTACTAACTTTCATTTCTTTATATCCTAACAGCTGGTAATAATAACATTTAAGGATTAGCAAATTGCATTACATTGGTAAATGAACTGCATAGATACAGTATCCTGAACAAGATTAGAAATATATGTATGGTATTTTCTAACAAAATCAATCTCAAATTTGTATCAATATATATAATTTGTATATAATATACAAGAATCCAATCAATGTAAAATATTTGAAACTAGTAGTTGCCTTTTAAAAGTAGGTTCAATAATCTACCTTTTAATCTATATCATGTCTATATTCTCTTTTTTTTTCTTTTTAGAGTAGATTCAATAATCTAACTCTAATCTATATCCTCTTTTTTTCAAACAAGAACCTTAAATCTAATTTCCTTTGTTTAGCTTCTTTCCTGACCATTAACAATGACAACTTGTAACCATTCATTCTATACAATGACAGTTATCCCAAAGCCAAAACCCAATGAAAGATCATAAACCACCTGCCCTACCTCTTGGGAATGTGGGCATCATGTTCTGAACATTTCTTTTTGTTGTTTGTGGGTGAAGGCATCTTTAGGGGATCCTAAAAAGAAAATTTTGGGTTAATTGTCAAGTTCTGGGGGTAACTATATCATTTGTTGTCCAGTCTCTGTATAATGTGAAAACACAGGGCTTATCTCAAGCCTTTGTTTGGGTAGTCTGTGAGGCTGGATCATTTCAGCTAGCCATCTTGAAATTGTCCTGAGCAGTTTGTCATCCAAAGCTGATCTTTGGGTAATGTTTGTCAGCTTAGCAGTATTATTACTGTCCATGTGGAATCGTAATTGTGGGGCCCAATCATCTTTCTGGAGACTTCAAATTCATTGTTAGGTCTGGTCTTGATTCCCTGAAGAAAACTAATAGAGACTCCAACACAAAAACATGTACAGGCTGCCAAATGAAGTCTTTTTTTTTCTAGAATTAGTTGGCACTCTATTTGACCATTAATATCATAACAAAACTTAATATATATATATTATTCTTATAAATTTTGATATAAAATTTATACTTCAAGAAAAATTTAAAGCATCAAAATAGAACCAAAGAATTGAGATTAATGGCAATAGAATTGTCCCTTAATTTTGGTTTTCTTCTGTCCCATATCAGATGGCTCTTCTTCTGACATGATACAGAGATTTTGCATGTTACTTTTAGTAAACATGCTTGGGTGTAGAGAAGGAGAAAGCCATTCTCCAACTTTAAAGCCAGCTTTAATTTTTAATTGAACTGAGACTACATAAAGACCATCTGTGTAAAGTGTCTGTAGAGAAGAACAGAAACAAACATTTGGGAAGACTTATGAAATTTTGTATGTTATATACAAGTAGGCCAATTTACTCTTTTTCTTGGGACATTTTTTCTGGATGATTTGTCCCTTTTATTCAGATATCTCAATTTGTTCAGTGTTCTTCAGATTCTTTATCTTCTGAAAGACAAAACAAAAACCTTTCCCCAAGCCTAACTTTGGGGAGGTTCCCTTTTGACAAGTTATATCTGATTAAATGAAAAGTATTTGTTAGTGGTATAAGTTAGTTTAAATTGGATGGTCATCCTGGTCAATGAACTATAACCTCTTCTAATTAAGAGGTCTTTCTTGTTCAAATCGAACCTTTATCAATTTTGAACAACTTTACTTACAATTTCTGACTTGTAACCTGCCTTTCCTGTTTGTTTGCATCTGTATAAAGTGTATGGGCTTCAGATATGGGTGTTTCACATTCTGCTGAACAGTGTGAGGCAGAATCCAATCAGCTCTCTTTATAAATTGAATTCTATCACTTTTGAGATATTTGCTTAAAATCTCTCAAAAAATCACTGGTAGCTCTTTGTCAAGGTTCGCTTTCTGCTCATAATTTGTCATTTTCATCCTGAGTTAAAGGTACTACAATTTCTGTTGGGTCTATTTCTGCTAATTCACAAAGTCTCAATTTTTCTTTCAAAATCAAGTCAGAGATCTTTTTCAC